TTTTTATTTTTTTTTTGTCTTTCGTGTCTTTTCTTTAATTATGATTTTAGTATTCAGACGGACGAAGGAGGATTTACGTTTTGACAATTTGAAGAGGATTCATAGACTGAAATAGTAAAACTAGGAATTCAGTTTGAAATTCAGCGGTTGATCTGCTCTTTCCTTGCAGGTGAACGCAAATGGCATTGTTCTAGAATTGTACTTCACCATTTCCGCCCTGCAGGATGCGTTCCATGATCCTTATTATACAAACGGAAGCATTTTGTTGGCTTGATGCAATTCGGTAAACACCTGAGGAACAATTAACCTAATATCGAACTGCATAGCAACCGCTGGGGCCCTAGGAATTTTGACTCGGGTAGTCAGGAACCCTAGGTGAATGTGGATTCTATTGTTCTCCAAGGACATCTTCATCAATTTTATATATACTACCCATAGAGGTGCTACATAACCAGACCAAACTCTCGTTGCTAATTACTATAATGTGTTTAACCAAAGGATTGAAACCTACTCCACATGAAAAAAGTAACTACCTGGAGAACAAAATAGTAGCAAAAAGAGAATAGGTAACATGTCCATACATCGCCTTACATAAGCTCATATATCACGTGCACTTCCGCCCTTCGCTCATCCAGACAATAAAAGATGCCAATGGCAGCAGTAGTGATATATCTGGGTTTGATTCTGGCTTTTGGTTTGCGATCTGGACGGTTCGCAAGATGAGCGGCCAAAATAGTCAAAATCCGAGTTTAGAATCTAACTCTCTTTTCTCTTCCCTGAAGGTGGGAGCTCTAAGCGGTTAGTGTTGGCTTCGCTGATAAAACCCATCTCTTGATTGAAATATGCACTTTTTGGTACAACATGTACTGTGCTATCCGGTTACTTACGGGTTTACCATGCAGGCTCTGCAGGCCTTGTCTATGGAGGGATTTCAGGCGTCGTTCGATCTTCTCGCCACCCGGTGATACATTCTATATCGTGTGGTATCCATTGGTTCGCCTGTGGAACCTCTTTTTGGTGTAAGCTACTTACCCTCCTGCTTTCCAGGTACTAGGAAATTTTCTTGGTGTTGAACTTTCTTTGCAGGGCTGAGGAGCAATATCTTGAAACTCCATTATGAAGATAATGCCTCCCCGAAACAACGCGCTTATGTCAGCGCCTTGTCAGGAGGAATTGCTGGCGGAGCCGTGACAAGATTAATGGGTATTTACTATTTAGCCCTCTGAAGCTTTACTGCCAAGCGCTGGTAATTGGATGTCGATGACTGACATGTTGACAACGATCAGGAGGCCGGCTCATTCCAGGGGTTGTCGTTTTTTCGCTACTAGGCTATCTCGGGCAAGGCTCATATAATGCGATCGACAAATGGCAAATAGAACAGGCTAATACTCCATCTAAGCCAATCATTCAGCGGATCGCCGACTCGAAATGGATCCCTCTCAAGTCTCTTTCGGATGATGACTATAGAGGGCTTCTAAGCGAAAAATTGCTGAGCATTGAGGCTGAGATGGCACTCCTTGATGAAAAGATCGAAGAACTTGAAAAGTCCAAATCCCGTGGATCAGATGCAGGACAACCGAAAACTGAATCGAAGTAATGCAGAGCATCGATCAGTATTCTTTTTCCTCCAAAAGATGGTCCCTCCTCCCGGAATGGCTTCGACTGCTGTTGGGATCGTATTGACTGAAGCCAGATGAATATCGGTGACTTTTATTGCTTGAAAGGATTCTGCCGCTGGAATTTCGACTATGCTATGAATTATCCATGACGTAAATAAGTGATCTCCTGTTCTGTGGAGGAGTCGAAACTCGCTCAGTTTTACTTGCAGCAGGGGGTTGAGGGGACAACCTAGTTGAAATTACAGTATGCCCCCTTGGACATGCATACATCATCTTGTATATTAGTTTACGGGAAATGAATGGTTTGTACGATAAACTGTATAATATTAAGATTTATTTAGAAATCTGATAGGCCCGATCTTCATAGACGAGTCAAGATATAGGGAGGTGCACCGATGAACTGTATCTATTCTGTACTTGTGGGATTGGACACGTCGTTATGACCATTACGCAGGTGGAGGTTCTTGATTGGTGTAAGTAATCTTCCTGGAGAATGCTTTGTTCCGATGAAACTTCTAACAAGATGGAGAGAATCGTGACGAAATGCAAGGTACTGGTAGACAAGTCAGTCACGAACGAGCTACTAATTACCCAGAATGTAAATCATGAAGCAAAATCCCCCCACCAGAGTACCGAGAAATAGGGGCTACGTATGTACGTACTTTACAGAACATCACAGCTCACAGGTATATGACACGCACAGTCAAAAAGGGTAAAATGCGGCGTGGAACCCATACCCATTTCGTTCGTAGCAAGGAATGAGCCGAGACAGCCGACCGTCCAGAACGGAAGCCTACCAGAAGACTCCCCGTTTTGGGTCCAAGTGGGCGGCTTTCCGCTTCCAGTTCTGCCCGCGACCAGCTCGACGACTAGTGGATTGACTGGCTCGACTTGTCTTTTTGCTGACAAGGTTAGATAGATCTATGGTTCGTCGGATCCGAGTCACCCATCCTGTCCTATACTGCATTTCTCTTTTTGCCTTCCAACTTTCCCCCTCAGTTCAGAAGCATGAGTGACTCGCAGTTCTTACGTACCTCCTGCGTCGCTTCTCCGGCTGGTGTACAGTTCCGGTCCTAACGGAGACCTGGCCCTCGCCGGCTTCAAGCCCTTGGAAGATTGAATGCTTCGGAGGTGCTCCCCACCCTGAAAAAAATATTAAAAAATTAAAAGCCTTGAATGACCATCGAGACTGCCAGCCTTCTTGATCGTATCGCACGTATCTACTAACGGCCTCCCAGTCTTGTCTCTCGATGGTTCAATTGTTGTGCTGGACTTGTCCTATTCAACGGATCAGCCCTCCTGTCCGCGAGCCACGATGACGCTCTTCAGCCCGACTACGGTCCTTGTCGGGTTCCTTCTCCTCTACCTCTCCTCGTTTCTTATCTTCGCCATCGTTCGGATCGCCACGGGAATTTCCATACAACGCATTGGCTACTTCTCTCTCCGCCGCATCGCATACGTCCCGAAGCAAGGGGTACAGATTGAACTTCGTGGCCTTGGGCTGTCTTTACACCCACCTTCGTTTGCCCAACCGACATGGCTTAGTCTTCGATTGACCGATTTGAAAGTGACCGTGGACCCCGCCGCTCTGGCCAAGAGCAAACGAAACAAAAACCACCCCGATGTATCGGAGCCTACCAGCCCAGGGGATTCTTCCCCGCCAGAGGATGACGATAACGCTTCCCCCCAAGGACGGAGCAAGACTTGGAGATCGTTAACCAAGCTAAAGGAGCAAGTGAAGCGGCTACATCGCAAAATACACTGGTTGAAATTGGTGGATGTCGTGGCGGTCAACACTACCGTCAATTTTCTCGAAGCTGGCCAGATTCAGGTGGGGAGTCTGTCATTGGCAGTGGACACTAGACGCAAGATGGTAGACAGAGGGAAACTATTTCGCCGCAAAAAGTATGAGTCTGGTGAACAACGCCCAGCTGAATGGATAATGACCGTGCAAAATGTCCTCCTTACGGTCGACGGCGGAGAACCAACAGAATTGCTAGACAACATCGGAGTCAATGTACATGGCATGCTATATAAAGACCTTGAAGGACTTAGGGATGCGTCAATTGCCCTAAAGATCGGAAGAATGCATATTCCTTACGACGATCTGATGACACTCGCGCAAAGAATCAAGAAGTTTCGGGAATCCTTCTCAGAAGCCTCGAAGAGTGAAGCAGACGATGAAGTGTCGTTTGCAGACTTCGTGGAGGAATTGGACAAGCCTGGAAGCCAGGACGACGCCCTTGTCCAAACCGTTGCCGATTCAAAGGAGTTTGCGAGCTCTCTATTGCGGGGAATACATGAAATTCAGATAGCTTTGAGCTTTTTCAGATTATCGCGAGCTATACAGCCACCTTCGCCAAAGCAGAGTTCAGTCTATCTCAACATTATATCCCATGAGATAGGCATTGACCTGCATCGGATGGATCAGAATAGCCCCGCCCATCGGATGTATTTCCAACGGAACGACGTCGCGCATCAAGCGCTCCTTGCTGCCATCTCTCTTTCGGTCAGTCTAGACGACAGTTCCGGCGAGACGGATAATATCCTTTACATACCCATGGCCACTACAACCATAAAGACAACCCTACCATCAAAGACGATTAGCTCGTTCAGTGAATGCAACCCGGAAGAGCGAAATACTAATATCCTTTTCGCTAATCTTGTGGTAACATCTCCTTCCATCGATTTAGAACCAAGGCATGTTTCCCGGCTCCTGGGATTGGCTCAGGATAGAACATCCTCCCCCCGTGGGAAAAAGAGAAACAATCATCGACTGATATCCCGGTTGCTCCCTAAAGCGAGTATCAAGCTCTCGGTTCATGAGCCTGTACTTCGATTCGTTTTGCCCATCTCTGAAGCTTCCGATGTTTCTGCGGAAGACTACAACCTCCTAATATGCTCTATATCTTCAATCTCACTCGACATAGAGTCCTCTCATTCATCGGAAGGCGGTGTTCACTATTCCCTATCGTCTATTTCCCGGATGGCGTCCAACAAACTGTATTACCAAACGCCCTTGGGAGTCAAACATAATCTACTCACAACCGATAATATGGAACTGAAAGTCCTTCTTAGTTCATCCCCGGAGGTATGCGTGATGGCTTCTGGATCGTTAAACACATGTTCCGCCCACATGGTCAATGGGGAGGTCAATCGAGGTATTCAACAGGTGATTGAACAGTTCAGAGCCCAAATCAAGCCGAAGAGAAAGGTTGCAATGTCGCTCGAAGAGCGTAAACCTAGTCTTCTAAGGCGCGTTCCCCCTTGGCTGCTCAGGTTCCAATTTGAAGCTACCAGCTTGAGTCTGGAAATTGCTGGTGTGGACGAAGCGGTCTCAGAACTTTCTCGTGGCGTTTCCCTCCAGATCCATTCGTGGACCGCAGATTATAAAGCACAAAAGACCGAACAACCTAGTGTGAGTATCGTACGGCGACGGACTCCGAGTCATTCTACGATCGGCGACGAATCACCCTTCAGGTTTCCTCCGACATCACCCCCAAGGCAAACACAACGTGGTGCTGCGGATGGAAGACGACTTGCTCTTCATGTTCGTGGCTTTGAGGGATTTGTAATAGAATCTGAAGATTATCTGGAGGCGGACCCTTTCTTCTCGCTCCCTAGGTTCGAGGTGGCGTTAAGTACCTTGAGCGACCGTCTTGGGCCTATTTTCCACATCAATTCCGTGATAAAGGGTATTTACCTACAGTATTCCCTTTATCGTTATTACTGCGTAGGAGTTGCCGCATCTGTGATCCAGAGCGCTTTCTTGCAACGTTCGCCAACAGCAACACCTCAGACCCTTTCTCCTTGGAATTCGCCTCCTTCATCGCCCCGCCCATCCTCGCAAAGGAATGAGCTTATTACGGCCGACGTGAGAGTCACTGTGGTTCAGGTCAAAACTTTCCTTCCCGCAGACCCCCCCATGATGCTCCAAATTTATGGACTTGCAGCTGGTTCCCACCGACTCTCCGTTCCATTTGTTCGAGCTCACCTAGTTCGGCTCCACGCTGAGGCACCTAAGCTCAAGGGTGTCTGGGCACGAATTATCGGTATGACTAATGTCAGAGTCGATTTCCGCACTGCCAAACTAAAGCAGGGCGTCAATCTGACCGAAGAGAAGTCGATAGATGTGTGGGCAGATTTTATCCGCTTGGCTGTCCCGCACCACATGGTGATGCATCGCATTTTTGACAACGCGATTAACACAGCAAAGGCCCTCAAGCAACTTCACCATCGATTCAAAAACCATACGGCCGGTTTTGACTCGTCGAGAGACCCAGAGGAACCGAAAAAAGTACCAAGGATATCACTGCGCAGCAAAGCACTTTTATTCGAAATGGAGGATGATGCATTTGAATGGAAACTAGGGTGCATATATCGTGCAGGCCTTCTAGAGCAACGCCAGCGCCAGGCAAGAGAAGAGGCATACGAGTTGAAGATCCAAAAAATCAAGGAATGTGATCAACGGCGCGCCTCATCAAGATTGCGTGCAAAGTCGAGCCACAGAACCCTTCGCAGTGAGAGGGTTAGTGGGGAGTCAAAGAGAAGCAAAAGTGCCGATGCGAAGCCACGCAATAGTGATTCAGATGACAATAAGCGTGGGCGGGGAAGAAAATTCCGCTATGACACTGAAGGTGCAGCATGTCTCTCGGGCGAATCAAAGGTATCGGCAGACGTGGCCTGGTACCGACTCCAGGAATACAATGCAAGAAGCTGGAAGAAGAAGATCGACGGTGCCTTGAAGTTCCAGGGTACTTCGATCAAGGAAGTACGAAACCTCTTCTGTGGAGCCGATGAGCCGCCTGAAGATGTGGAGGAGACGGAGACTGTGCTCTCTATCCCGAATAGACCTGCTCTTATGGCGGCTTTAATAAGCGATATCCATCTTGTCATAGACAAACCGTTTTTTCCTTTGCAAGATTACCCAACATTCCTCCATAGGATTGGAAAAGGTATTCCGATGTCTACACAATAT